TAACTGAAGACAAGTCACTAACATCCGCTGGTGGTTCTAAAATAAAACAAACTACCAGGCTCCAAGTAGAAATAGTGCTGTTTCAAAGGCAAAGCTTGTTCACACCAAATAATGATTTTTAAGTTAAGTTTTAAGTTTTTCTCTTATTTACTTTGTATGACGTTAGTTGGTAAATAAAACATATTCATTTTGCTTCTAAATCTTTTGCAGAGTTGAATATTTTGTATGTGAATTTTTATAGAATTATATTTTGGTCTCCAAAACAAACCTCACACTTCAACACTGCTGGTGATGCAGCTCGTGGGCTCTGCGTCCTCTCCTCCTCAGCACGTGGGCCCCTGATGCTGCTGACCTGTCACAACTCTGCGCATGCGCGGTGCGACGATGGGCATTTCCAACAGTGGAGGAGGCGTAGTTAGCCGCGGCTAGCAGGTGCTAAAGGTAAGGTGTGCGGGGTTGAGGGTGTTTCAGCGGATAAAAACGGTGAGATCTCTCAACCGAGGCAGCGTTAGACCTGGAGCCGGGGTCACGGTTACTGTCCGGACAGTTGGCTGGAAGAACCGCCACAGATTCCCATGTAGCCACAGACCGCCCATGCTAGCTACAGCAATTGTTAGCTAGACAGCTGCGCAGAAATGGGCGTTCACTGCTCACAGCCTGCGCTCAGCTGGGGGCCCACGCCAGCCACGGCATCGGGTTCAGTCGGGGTTGAGAGTCATTAAGGATAAACACCCTCTCTCTCTCTCATTGTTAGCGTGGGTCGTGGTGTAGTGGCTCCTTGTGATGCGCAGTAGTAAGACATGCTGTTATTAGCTTAGACATGCTAACTCGCTAAACGGCTGCTCGCTAAGGTTGGTGTGTGTGTGGTAACTGGAATAGCCGGTCAGCTCGCTGGGGTTCAAGCCTGCTATCAGATTTGAGTCTCAAACACACCCACACAAACCGATGCTAAGTGGAGGGTACCACGGGTTACACGCCTGTAACGTAGCTCACACATTCACTGGCGCAAACAGGAGCGCAAGAGCAAAGGCACAGTCGACCGTAAGTGTCGATGCTGGTTATGAGCACTGTAATTCAGATGGTGTGTCGAGGTGGCGTGTTTCGTGATAATAATCTCACTTCAACCCAGTGGCTGTTAAATAAGCCACACGATGCATCCTCACATCATCCCACACACAGCACATGCACTGCTTCTCTGGTACTCATACACGCCCCCTCTTATCTGAACCATTCGATTTTTGTATTCACCTTTAACGATGATTGTTACGACTGTATTTTTTGTGGATTGGATTAGCATTCAATGAATCAGAATAAAATGATGCCCAATGTCCCTCCTGCCCTATTTTCTGACTGCTCTCCTGTTTTCGTTGCAGCTTGAAGACGGCTCAGAAAAAATTACTCAACCATGTACGTGTCTTCATGATGAGCGACCTTCAACTCTGCACATGCTCAAACCGAGGAATGGAATAAGTTCAACTGTAGACACAAACAATCGGCCTGTTTGACTGGAAACAAGTCAGACTATGAGCCGGTACCAGAGATGCCCGTAAGAAGGCATCCCTACAGGCTGCAAGCCTAGCTACGCCAACTGAACGCTGTTTAGAGGATGTGCTGCTGATCAGACGTGACGTCTCGTTCCTCTTCCACCTCTCTAAAACGTTATTAACGTTGAGTGTGAGACCGTGTGTGGGGTGAATAATGGTGGCAAAAAATGGTGCCTGAGCATCGCATCCTGGTGCAGTGTGTGCCAAAAGGGGTGAGGTTCTCTCAGAAAAGTACAACAGCTGACTGATAGTCTGCTGCCGATAATGGATGCCAAGTTAAAAGAGGACCTGTTTCGGAGGTATGTGACGGCACTGGAGAGGCGCCTGGAGGAGGGAGGGGAATACAGAGGGATTGGAGCTGCACCAGAGGGGGACAAAAGCAGACACAAGGACAGTGAGGCCCTGCTCTCCACAGCCACAGCTCTGCTAGGGGCATACCAGCCAGATCCTGCACAACGTTTCCGCATGGTGCGTTTCTATGAGGTGGTGGAGAACTCTCTCCGCTGCCAGAGAGGGGGCAACCTCAGGAGCCTGGAGAGAGCCTTTCATACTCTGGAAACCATCTGCACCAACCTCTTACTCTTCCCCTGGAAGAAGGAGTTCAGATGTATAAAGGTGAGTTTAGTAGACTCACAGTGTTGACATTTTATTCTTATGTTTAATGCTGATATCAACCAAAATTTGAATCTTGAACACCATTAGCTTTTGATATTGTTTTCCCCAGGAGTGTGTATTGATCACAATTCGATAAATTACTTAACCTCTGTATGTATAATTTCAAAATCATGAAATAAAGTTGTGAAAAATTGAATCACCCTCACATAAACAAAATATTATTTTATACTGTTGAAATCAGCCTAAAAGTTGTGTATCTAATCATTTCTATAAAGCATCATGACTTAAGGTTCCCCGAGATTTACATCCTACAATGTAATTTACATCTGCATATCCTCCATATAATTCTTGTTAAAGGAGTATTTATTTTCTAAGAACACTGTACAGTGTGTTAAAGGTAAAACCCAAATGTTTTATTTTTAGGCAACATCTATATGCTGTTTATATTTTTACATACGTACTAAATGAAACCCTTTACTTTGAATTATATGATATCAGAGGAATAACATGTGAGGCTCAGTGTTGCTCAATCATGTCACGCTGTTTTAACTGACTGACACTAATGCTGATGAACTCATTTTTCTTTTAGACCTTCACTGGCCCGTACGTGTACCATCTGCAGTCAGCCATTTCTGAAGCTGAACTGCGATCTGTAATGCGCACCATTGGCTACGCGGTTGACCATGATTCGCAGTTCCATTTGCAGGAGCACCCAGGAGGAGCAAATCATCTGCGCCAGTTGGCGTTTGAGCTCTTCCTGGCCCAGGCAGAGTGTCGTCTTCTGGGAGAGGTAGTGGCCCTGGCCCGCGGTTCAGCCTCAGAGCTGGAGGCCCTGGAACTCCGCAGGGGTTGCAGAGATGACGCAGCTGGCTGTGCCGAGGCGCTCCGCAGACGTGATAGCCTTGGGGCAGATATGGCTCGTCTGTCTGTGCGGCCGATGGATATAGAAAGGCCTCATGCCCACCACCTGAGGCGAGGTAGCCGACCATCTAAGTCTGTGGATGTTACGGATGGGGCTGGTCACTGGCATCCAGCAGTTAGCAAGCCTGTCTTAAAGGCCTCATTGAGTCTGAGGAAGGAGCCCCTGTTTGTGGATGCAGAGGAAGATATGAAGGATGAGATCATCAGGCCCAGCACCTCAGCATCTCTCTTCTCTGTGGTAGCCCCACCTTCCTACAGCCCTGTTGCAGATTTCTTCCCAATTCAGTCGCCTCCCCCGGCTGATGTTTACACATCCTACCACCTGTCCTCTTTGGATGAGATTGACTTGTACACTGAGAGGGGCGGTGCTGGGACAGGGGGAAGGCAGACTCCCTCTCGACCTCCATCCAGAGAGCCTCGGGATGCAAGAGACGGGTGGCTGCTCAAAGCTCATGGTAGTGTGAAGTGTCAAGGTTGTGGGCTGAGCTGCTCAACTATGGCTGCCTGCCAGAGGTGTGACATGATCCTCTGTTCTGCCTGTCATGATGTGGACCCCTCCCCTTGCTGTGGCCTCCAGGACTACCACCCCAAATCCCCACGACCCCTTGATGGATACATCCCTGTCAAGGAAAAGCTCTCTGTCTACTCGAATACCCACTCCCACTCCCATCTCCACCCGCATCCCCTCACACTGACTCACTCGCACTCTCACCCCCACCCCCAGATGGTGGAAAAAACCCTCATGTCCACAAAGCTGTTTGCAAGCAAGTCTGTTGCCCTGACAACACCAAAGGGAGTCAGCAGTGAGCGAATAAGCTTGGGGGGATCGCGCTGCGGGTTCTGCAACAAGCCAGGTGCAACGCACACCTGTGTGAACTGCTCTAAGGTGTCCTGTGACTCGTGCATGGGCTTGTATGCAAAGGATATCTGCACACGAAAGAATCCGCAGCACAGCTTTGTGCCCAACCATCAGCTCAACTTCAAATCTGGCACTATATCTCACCTGGTGTACCGATGAATCAGGCAGACTGAATATTTTTTCTCCCCTCTCATACCTCCCTTAACCCCACGGTGTAATCTTGCACTACTGCTTTAGCTCTGTTACCACTTAAACAACTCACTCTCTTGCCCTTTATCTGATGGTCTTTTTCGCTCTCTCTAACATTCTCTTGAACTTTGTACGTTTTTCTCTTGCTGTCAGTAGGACCCTGGAATGCACACGCCACAGAGAGCCAGATCGTGTGCCCTTCTCTCTGCCTTGTACAAGTTCAGGCCTTTTTAATCTATTTCTTCTTCTTCCTTTTACCTTGATACCTGCTCTTGAGTAGTCATGTGATGTTGTAGCGCTTCCCAAATTCCTTAAATGTTGTCCTCCTCAAAAGGGAAACTAGAGAAAAGAGAGTTTAATTCCTTCTCATCTTGAATGAA